TTTAGAGACCATAATTTAACACTCCAATCAAATGATGAAGTGAGAAATAAATGTGAAAAATCAATAGTAGGATTTACAATATTATGACAACTGATCCCTAAAACGTCATTATTCTTAAAAGTACATCGTTTCTATTCCACATGTTATGCCTCATACATAACTTACCCGTTATTGGTCCAAAATGGGATTCATACGCTTCATTAATACCCGCTTTATTCCCATGTCTTGTCCCCAAATATACTTGTCCTTCTTCACTTCCAATAACATAATTATTAACATCAAGACCCGGAAATTTCAAACATGTTGCAGCAACGGGTTTTGATTTGTACGCTAGGTCCATAATTTCTTGTGGTTGTGACATCATTTCCATATTCCATGAACACATTTTGCCCTCATTGGAAATTGATATTAGATTATTTGCATTTTGTGTACCGATCACTTGTAAACAATAGACAGGATGCGTATGAGAAGATGCCGACAAAGCGGTACGTTGAACAGGTGTGCGTTTATTGGTGCGTGTATCCCATACAACAATCTGTCCACAGTAGGTACCACCTAAGATGATATTTGGATGAAATTTACTAAAACAACAGGATGTTATCCAACTTTGGCAATTCTAAAAATAAAAAAATGTCGACCCTATGCCCTCCTACTTCTGTGGTCAACTTACATATACATATTCCGGCGTTGGTTTTTGTCGATATTTCGTATTCCATACTAACGCCACGCCATCTGATTCATGTGGTGATTCTTCATTTTGTGAATAGGATGCGAGGACCAATTCTGGATAATATGTTGAAATGTCAATACACGTGACAATACGATGTTTTGTCCATCGTTCATCAAAAAATTCACGATCAAATTTAATTATTTCTCCAATATCCATTTTTTCATTTTTAATCGTATCTCGTCCACTGTAGTCTTTGAAAATATCTGGCGCTGTGAATCCTTCATACAGTGTTCGTTCTATAATACGTGAGGAGCGATGAAAAAAAGTTTGAAAATCATCACTTTTAAACACTTGTTCTTTTTCTTCATCGGTCATTTCTAGTTTTTGTTGTGATTGAAGTTGTTTTTGTTTTGATCGTCGTTTACCGTCTTCAACAATACCCAATATCTTTTTTGTATCTAAACTCATTGAGTCATCCTCACTATCACTATCACTTCCGTAGACTAAACGACTCGCATCAACTAAACGATTCTCTTGAAGTGTTGGACTATTTATTGGATCTTTTTCATTAATTTCTAATGTCTGAACCTCTTTTGAATAAGTCACTAATTCTGTGGGTGCAACGTTCACTTTCGATACATGAGCGATTTTTAAATCTCCTACTTTTTTCGACTGTAACAATGATTGATTTATCGCTGATGTAAAAGAAGAAGCTGGAATGTGTGGCGATGACAACGAACTGGCACTTGAACTTAGTTTAATACCAAATGGTTCCAGAATCTTATCGGGATCCGTGCTGATTGGAGTTGTACTAGTGGATTCACCTGCTGATGTGGATGTGTCTCCTACTTTTCCTAGCTGTTGCCTACGTATTTCTTTTGCTATGCGAATTTCATATAATTTTTGTTTCTTTAATTCAATTTCAGAACGTCTATCCTTTGAATCCATTCTTTAGAATTGACTAATAGCTAAAAAATAATCTAGAAATATATAACAACGTTGCCGCAGTTAGACTTTTAGATAAAGAAGAGTTCAGCATCAATAAATATCACATCTACCATATACACGCTAGTTACTTTGAGGACGAATGACAAAGCCATAAATATGGCGCAAGACGAATTTTACATATATTTATAATACAGCCTGTAGTAACCAAATGGAAGTTGATTGCGTCTGGATATCAAAACAATATGTATTTGTTTTCAAAATCACTGAATTGCATTAATCTACACAAAACTAATTTAGATAAATAATTTGTTTAAAAATTGCGTAGAATATCGTTAAACCTGTCACTGTCGTTTTATCGTTTAGAAATGAGGAAGATGGTGTATTTTTTCCTTCAAAAAAACTAATAATTTCTCTTTTTAAAGCTAATAAGAAATCAATGTTTCGGAACAACAGCTGGCGTCTAGTAACGCCTGATATGACATCGAATTTCTTCTGATTCTTCCTTTAGAAGCAGATTACTTGTGAAGGTCGTTAAACAGAAGAATTAAACAATTAATTAACAATTATAAACAACTGACGTGTTGTTTGATGAAGAAATGTTTGCCTACGATAAGACTCGTTCTGACAATAACCCTCCATTCGAGCACCGATGTGTCTTCTTTTTTGAAGGAATGATTTACCGATATATTTTTCTAGTCTTGGTGTTTTTGTTTACATTAAATGCCAGTAATAAATATATCGATATCACTACGAATTTTATGGGAGCCAAAAGCTGTCTACGATAATGACATCCGTAAAATCCGAGTCTTTGATAAAAACATTAAGGATACTACGTGAGAAACTCCTCATTTATCCCTCACAATCTCCTAATGTGACTTAACGAATTTGTATTTTGTCGATGACTATGTGTTTACCGATTAGTAAGCATATCCCTAGCGCATGCACTCAAGCATGGATACTCATCTGAGTAATCTCACGGGGAGTAATGTAACGAGTACTTATGAAAAATCATGGGCAGAGATGGGTGAGTCACTTAACGAATCATCCAGAAGTCTTTCCGCCCCTAAAAGGTTTCGAGCTACTTTTAGTAATGTTCGATTCAGATTTGTTTGTGCTACAAAATGATATACCGCTATAAATATTACCACTTTCATAGGTTCGATCTAACCCTGAAAAGCAACTGACTCGAGCTTTTCGAAAAGTTTGAGTGATTTTTCGATCAGTTGCTTTTCAGGGGGACTAGACCGAATCAATGAAGGCGGTAATATTTATAGCGGTATATCATTTTGTAGCCCAAACAAGTCTGAATCGAACATTACTAAAAGTGGCTCGAAACTTTTTAGTGGGGAAAAACTTCTGGATGATTCGTTAAGTGACTCATCCATCTCTGCCCATAAGTATTTTAGAACTCATAAGTACTCAATGTGTACTTAGCTGAATACTTAGATGAAGAATTGTAAGTAATTTGGTAATTATAAAAACTCATTCAGTAGTCGTTTTAAGTACTTAAAAGTGGATTTTCTAAATCATACTTATTTTTTATTTTTTAATTTGAAAATTAGCAATGTGAGGTTATCGACTGTCACTTTCTCGTGTCGGACAACTCGATTCTGTCAATTTCAAGAGTCATCAATGTTATAGTGACATAACTTAGAATTTAGAAAATGGGTAGTATTTTTATACCACATGGAAGTGCAGAACAAAATGGTGAATGGAAAAGTCATAAGTTCTCATGTGAAGACTTTCACTTCATGAGTACTCATTTGAGGATTAAATAAGTAAATATACTAAAAAATATTCTCTGTGACTACATGTGTTAGGTGTATCTCTCTTACTATTTATACTAGCAATTTTCGCTTGTTGAACAGTCGAAATTATGGCATGGGTCTATTCCTCTTTCTTTCTGCTGTTCTATATTTATTCGATGGAAATTCTTTTCTTTTTCTTCTTCTACAAATAAAGCTTAAATCTGCTGAAAAATATTCGTTAGTACTCATTTACGTACTCAGGTACAAGTTTTCAGTTGTTGAGAACTTACTGTATGAGTACATTCACTAGGAACAGCACATCTTAAGTCTTTATATATCAATTACTTCATTTTCTATGCAACATTTAACACAGTTGCTCAAAAGATGTGGCTATACTACACAACGTTTGTTCTGAAAGCGAATTACTCAATTTTGCCAAACCTGCTTGAACAAAAAATGAATTTGATCAGCTGAATAAAGATAAGTTATATTACACAAAGATATACTTACTAAAATGTCAGTTTCAGAGTGCCATTGCTTAGCCAAATATAAAACTAAGCGTTTTTTGAGTGTTTGAACGATAACTAAATACGTTGATATTAATTCAAAATTTTTTTCTAAGTAATTTTTTCATAAATAAGCAGGTACTCGATGGAACATGAAATAGTAAAACCACCTTACGATATGAAAAAATTTGTCCCTTTCTTGCCTTCCTTGAAAAAACTACGAAGTTGGCACTTCTGTTAAAATTATCGAGAATACGCTATTTTTTTTCTTTCTACTCATTCCATAATGTCCATATATTAACAAAATAAGGGATTGTATCATTTATTTGAGTGCAAGTGAATAATACCAACGGTAAATAGGTAATTAACGGCGTCTTAGCAGCAAATTTGCTAATGACGCATAGTTCATTTTATGTGAAACACGCTTACACTACAGATGAAAATAAAAGAAAATAGAACTGTAGCTATTTCTACTAACTCTTTCGCCGATAAACAGAAGAAATCTAAAATACATTCTACAAATTTTGCATCTATCTTAATGGTCACATACATAAAAACTAAAAGAAGTGTTGTTCTTCAACCTTGTGTTTACTGGTTAAAAATATATCTGATGATATCTAAAGAACTGAGCAAAGAAGACCGGTATTGGTGAAAATAAACAACAAACAACATATTCTTTTTCGATAAGTTATCCGAAATGCGTTAAAAATCGGCTAATATCATATAAATGATTGAAGTAACACAGAAAACATAGCTCGCTAGGAATTATGTAGTATATGCAACAAACAAACAGTAAAATGCATGTATTAATGCTTAAAGTAAATCAGATTACGCACAACAAAAAGCAGAATTAACTGTCTGCTGTAAGATTAGTATTATGAAATGTACACAAAGCAAACATGTTTACATTTTTGATAAAAAATAGTCTAGTAACAATGTGTTCTGTTTGATAAAAGAGTTCGATTGGGCAATTACGTCCAGCAGTGGAACTTCGAATTTATCTAAACAAGAAATAAACAACAATAGTAAATATCAATTGAGGAAACCGGTAATTTAAACTATATATTTATGTTCACATTCAGATTATGTTAATGCTTTCGTTAGAACTAGTTCGCTTATGGAATATTATCATCTGTTCATATGTTATTTGTCCATTGATTCAATCTAATAAACGTTCATTGTGTTGCTAGTAAAAACCAAAATCAAAAATAAATGACTGATTAATAACATTCACTAATTGAATTGGTTAAATTTTTTAATTATATTTCCATTTTCCTTGCCGAGTTTCTAGATAAATGTGATTAGATCATGTTCACCTGGATCTGATATTACCAAATCTTCAAAAAAACAATAGAATAGAATAGAAATGGAGTTTTTCTTAGAGATAATTATGTTAGCCTACGATCTATATGACCCGTATTAACCACTAAGTCTGTGTATAATCATCACCAGTTGGATCACCAGTGCCCAAAAAGAGTAAGTACAAGTCCATTTAATTTAACGTAATTTTGTACAGTTTATGAACATTTTCAATGTATGAAAATTATCATGTATCTTAGAAACAAAGCACTTATCGATATTTCATGTCGATTGGAACAACGTGAAGCGATTGCTAATAAACCATATCTTGTTGAAGGTAACGAACGTTTATTCGGTTCGTTGTATTTATTTGATTACCCAACTGAACAATCAGAAGATTTACTCAAATAACTATATTCAGGATGTTGAACTGAATGTTATCTAACAAATACGGTTGTCTCATTGCATCACAATAATCTGCTTCTATTCTTTCACATCACTAGAATCCACCTGATTCATGAACACATTGATCAATACAAAAATAAGCAAAACTATGCACTTTATCTATGCAAAACAATAACGGATTGTAGAAAATGAGACAATTCTATTTTACTGATGATTATATTTCAGATAAGCTCATACCACTTTCATACATTATAATACCTGTATGCTATGATTCTGTTTCTATATCAAGATCACAAAAGTCCTAATAGGAAGATCATGGTCAACACGTAAACAATATAGAGTACGCAATAGGGAGAGACAGTAGAACCCTGCATTAGATGAACATGTCCATGATCACAATTGTATTGATGAGTGAAAAGGATTTGCGTGAGTTGATTAGACAAAAGAGCAAAAGTATTCAAATTGAGAAACCTAAAGCAAATAAAGAAAAAGGAATAAAATTTTCACACGCAAAACTTTACTTGTCTAAAAAACTCCATGGACAGAAAATTTTTTGTCTATGGGCATGGACGAAAAAAGCGTCTATGCAGCGCTCTAAGGTACCGGGACATATTTTAAAATGCTGCAAACACTCAACAGACTGCTAAGAAAAAGTTTCTTATTTCGTGCATTTGTTACACTGGAGAAACGCAATTGTTTGGATGGACTGTTTAGAGAAACTTGGACGTAAATAAAGACTTCTGAATTTATTTTCTTTTTTTGGATACTTGCAACCGTAACTGATATATTTACTATTTTACGCGGAGTACGCTGTTCTTGCTGATATCTCTGGAACGGTAGTGAGAACGAAAATTCGAAAATTTTAGAGACTAACATCTTAATCGCCATAGTTCTTTATTCAAAAATTATCGGCAGAAGAATACCAGTTTTTTTCTGCTGCTAAAGAACTAAAATTGACAGAATTAATAATGCGATGAGTCAGTCATGAGTCATACTGTACTTATTTGATTTGCTGATGTTTATCCATTCCTTGATCACTTGGGCCTTACTGTCGAAGAAAATAGTTCTGTTCTTTTCAACGACATTTGTTATCATGTACTGATTGATTCTTTGCACAATGTTTTATTCCGGAAAAAAGGATAAAACAACATGATATTGTACGCTTATTAGCTTTAAAATAGAGACGTTCTTCTTGTCACTTCAGCAAATTTGGTCTTTCATTTTTAAAACATTCTACTGACCTTCCTATAAACAGGAAAAGTTTGTGAATTTGGAAGTGGAACCGAGGGATCAACTTGAATTTGGTTCAGATAGGACTTATTTCTTAAAAGGATATATGACTGATTATTGCTTTATTTCAGATAAAAACAGGTTAGTAAAAGATTAACAACAAAATAAACGATGTCGATTTTGTTATCAATGATATCTGATCGAGCTACTCCAGCTCAAATTGAGGGCGTGAAACGTTTATTAGAAATACGACGAATGGTTGAATATCCTTCAATGAGTTGGTATAGTCCACCACCATCGATTGTTCTTGATAATTTTTTATTCTTGGGCGACTATGACAATGCATCGAATATAGAATTGTTACAAAACTTGGGTATAAAACATATATTAACCATACACGATCGTGAATTGGATGAAAATATACGAACCAAATTCAATTACTTTAGTATAATATCACCTGATTCATCCAGTAAAGATGTCAAACAATATTTTGAGCAAACAAATAAATTTTTACACGATTGTTATCTTGCCGGCGAAAAAGTGTTGGTGCATTGTCAGATGGGTATATCCAGATCGTCAACACGTGAGTGTTAATTTTAAATTAATTTGCTTAAATGACGCTTGTCACTGTCATGTTTTGAAACATTCTTGCTAATAATGTGACCTACAACTATTCTACAGGATTAATTGTGTCACTTTTCTTCTATTTTATAGTTGTACTGGCTTATTTAATGAAATATCATCATGAAACGTTGGAACAGTCATTTAGATATTTGCTAGAAAAACGCCCAATGATAAGTCCAAATATTGGTTTTCTTCTACAATTAGTTCAATACGAAGAAGAATTACGAAAAACACAAGAGATTGATACGACTAAAAACGATGATGACAATAATAATAATAATAAAGAAGAAACAAATCCAATAAAAACTGTCGCATTAGATATCTCCTGAATGACATTCACATGTACTATATTTTTAAAGAATCAGTTTACCAATTGTCTTTCTTTTGTACTTTCTTATATGCTTATGTTTTTCCCAGTGAAAAGAATGTGTATGTGCAAGATTTATTCACCTTTTTTAAACTTACCTATTCTTTTATATGAGGGTTCAGTCATTTTTATATTATTTTATATCGTTGTACATTTTTTGCACCTACAGCATGTCTGTGTCCGTGATAAATCAATAGAACGATTTGAAACACAAATCGACAAATATGAAATTCTGATGTCCTTACAATCTTTTTGTCTTGCTGGATTCAAAATAACTTCAAAATTCTATTCTTTTTTTGACAATGTGATTCTTTTGATCAGGCTCGTCATCCCCCACCAAAACTACTATCGAAAACACTGGGCATGATTATTACAAAACTGTAAAATTTTACTAATGGTTAGATACAGCTGGATTTTTGTACATACGTATGATATAAACTTCAAATTATTGGTGAAGAACGAGCAAATTTCTAGTAATTTATTGATAATAATTCACTAAAATTATTACAAGTATGAATAGAATTGAAACTAAACATCCAGAATTGATAAACCATATCGAAAGAAAGGGTTCATACAAAAAGATAAATTTCGCCTTTTCCTTCTGTTTCTACTGTAAATATGATTGTTTTCTGACCGTTGGAGTTGGTGGTTGTATTATTAAAAGTGCAAGTGTTATTTGAGTTACTATTAATTAGTGTATCCATGGGTGTAGCTATGGTATTATAGTGCTTCAATTCGATTCTGCAATTGACCATTATTATCCCATTTTATTTTTAACAAATACCATGTTGCTGCTATACAGTCGAAGCATGGAGTTCTTTGTTAGGCTGAAAATGAACAGAGAAGGAGAGTTATATGATGAACTAGGCAAATAGCAACTGTGTGAATTTACCATTTCACTGTAGATGAGAATGGTCCAGGATCAATATTATTAATAGCTTGTACAAGTATCCTAATAGAGATATCAAGGTATAAATTTTAATGAGTTATGATATGATAACATTAGATGGACAAGTTGTTGATGTAACTACAATCTCAATTGTTCATAATGCAGAAGTGTTCACTGCAGGAATATTCAATTCCAGTAAAAATACCATTTTGGAACTTCTATATGATGATTCGAATGAGGAGTTGCTCTTTTATCGAGACGTGCCCGCATAAAGAGGTTTTACTATATATATAAAAATAACGAACATTTTATACTGACAACTAATTGCACCAGGAGTTGTGTCATTTATTCTTTTGATATTTGATAGTTGTCTATAACTTATTAACTATAACTTATTTAAAATAATAGTTATACAGTACTGTGTCTGATGATGAATACTTAACGTTTATCTCAGAAAAAATGTTTGCGTCCGCCTTCCTCAACGAGAAATGAATTTGAATGAGATAAACCACTGTGACAATTTCTTTTTTTCCATAATGTTGCTACGACTTGTGCTTGTAAGACTTTGCGCGTGAAGGTCTTACGTCGATGAAACGCTCCATTTTGAAAACGTCATCTTTCCTCTATTTTACTGAATGATTGGAGCCTCTCAACTGAGATACAATCCGCATTTTATGAATGTATCTCAGTTGTGGGTATTTCAGTTGAGAATTGAGTTTTTGGTAGAAGTATTTGTTTCTCATCTGAGTTACAATTCATAAGTTTTGGATTCATCAGCTGAAATGGACGTTCAACAAGACAACGCAAAAAACATGATGTAGATCGCGACATTCACTTTATTTTCTAAATAATTCCAGCTAAAGAAACTCTCTTGAATGATGATATCGACGTCACTGAATATCATCGATTATGCCGCCATTTTGCTTACCATTACCAGAAGTATTTCTTATAGCTCGTGATTCGGATATAAGTTGTAATGACGATGAAGATGTTGACGAAGACTAAAGTTCTTTCTTTTGTTATATATTTATTGTGATTATCTTGAAATGATTATCTTCAATCGGAACAACGAAACGAAATCATTGAATGTCCTCGCAGAACGACTCTGCACCTTCTGACTCTAAGGAAGCTAAGTGGAATTCCTAATGAGAAACATTCTTCGGATGAGAAAAAAATATTTCTGCAAAAAATTCTCAGCTTAGATACATTAACAAATACGGTTTGTATCTCAGTTGAGAGTGAGTCCTGAATAATGAAGAAATGTTTGACATAAGTAAGTGTTTCTACGCGGGTTACAGTTAAATTAAAATTTTTTCAATAATTTATATACACATTACAGGCAAATTTAGAATTAACCTAGGCGTATTAGTCTCTTGCACATGTATCTCGAGCTCTTTTTTAGATATCTCATTTCCTGGGATAACGGTCATTGTTGTCCCCATTTTGCTTAGACAAAACTGGGATCAAATCATACCGACGTTTCGATTCTACTAGGGAATTCTAGTTTTGTCTGTAACTTATATAAAGGGTGGGCCAGAATTACTGAAACCCCATCCTTTACATATGAATTTATCCGAAGATTTATTGTTGCTATTATAATTAACGAAGAAGAATGAAAATAAGTTTGACACAACTTTTTTTTTAATTTTTTCTACACATGCCATTTTGACAGTATACGTAGTAGTATATGTGGAGCATTAGGGAAAAGTATCAGCACAGAAGACGAATACGCGCAATAATTATCAGAACAGTTTTTGCGTAGTCATATTTCTTTAGTATCGAACAGCCTGAATATACTTTACATTCCACAAAAACAAACTATGCCTTGTGATAATGTGCAAAAATTTGAAATATAAAAATAAAGGATAGAGTAAATCTATCCTATTTTCTTTTGAAAAAAAATGCCATATTCAAATCTTCACGCTGAAGCAATTTTTTGTTTTGTTTAAAACTCACGTGCTTTTCTTCTCAAACTGTCCAAAAAAGCGTGGCTTTACAAATATTCGAACGTACGTGACTTTCGACATCAAAAACTTATATTACATATAAAAGGACACTTCATTTTATCAACAAAGTATTATATCTTCAGTCTTTGAAAACAAACAGCGGTTATCAGCCATTTTACTGCTAATAGGGTAGGGTAGGTAAGTACACCTTTTACACTTTTTCTGAATTACAGAAAAGTTGCAGCAATTGGATGGGATTGTCGTCGACGAGTCAGAAAAAAAATTAATGTGTAGACGAATCGGAAATATACCATTTTTTTTCTAGTTTCTATACTTTTTTACACTGACAGGAAGATTTTTATTTGTACGTAAAATTAAGTATGCCTAATTCCACCTAAAAGCATGAATAATTTTGACGAGGAATTAGTAAGTTTTCTCCTATATTATTATATACCAAATATAAATAATTATATCATATTTCTTGCGTCTCTTGACTCTATGCGATCTTTTGATCGAGACATATGAGATTCTTAAAATTTATTCTACACTCGAAAAAGATTTTCGAAATATCCATTTGAATTATTTTATTCTTGAAAAATGCATAAAAACTGTTCTAATGTTTCATCTCTGTTGTTTATTTAAAGGGCATGAAGCAGCATAAAAAGGGTTGGTTCATCAACGATAATCTGAATTAGAGTCTCTGAAACATACAGTTGCTAATGAATAGCAATTGAATATCGGCAAGCACTTTATCAATGTCATTACTTTGTAGAACTTCTGTGATTGCTAATGCAATTTTCGTACTGAGCTGATTTTAAATTAAATTTAAATTTTTCTCTGGTCTGGTGTTAAAATAAATGACTCGCTGACTGCATTTATAGTAAAGTAAATGCATAGATTATACATTTTTAGCCGTCAATAGAAGGGCTAAAACGACAGGTTAGCAATACAAATTATCCCTTTTTATTTTCTTATGATTTCCACATCGTATAACTAGGACCGTTCACAGTTTTCTACAAAAAAATATTCGTCATTAACACACAGACCGTTTTATTATCATAGATTAGAAAATACGAATTTTCAGTTAGCTACCGTATCCGAAATATTACTTTCGTCACTATTTTAAAATTTTTTGCGTTTTTTGGTCCTTTGTACCAGTCCTAGGAGTATAGTACTATCTTTAGCACCAATCCCAGACCTGAAAACTACTTTCTCTACTCAAACTTCGACCATTTAACATTTGACGAGTTAATGGTAATAAAAAAATAAAAATGAAGAATTTGTGTCGATAGCTGAACGTTTGTCAGCTATTAACGGACAGATTTCGATTGATTCGGGCTACTACTGTTGAAATTCGATGGGATCGACAAGTGTGTAATAAAACTTAGAAACGAATAACTCGACGCAAAAATGTATGCTTGTAGACAAAAAAGCCTAATAAACCAGTTCTGCTGTGTGATATCGCTTAAACTTTATCTAAAATCCCGTTTCAGTTTCAACAAATGTACTTAGGAAAAATGTATTGATTCCACTAACTGAAAGAGTCATTGAATATTTTATACCTTATATCAATAGAAAGTAGTGAAAAAAAGTTCAGAAACAAATTTATTTTTGTTCTGTCTGATTAACCCCAACAGCTACAAAAAGTCTCAGTAAAGAAGTTTTTCAAAATCCAGGATCTCTGAGATCTTCTTCGGAAATGATTCGAATGGAAGCTGTGCCTCGATGCTGAAGCTGTCAGAATATCTATTTAGTTTTTTTTACACCTGTCTAGATCAAATAGAAAGAGCAAGTATACGTGCCGTGACGGAATTATTATCGCGGAGGTTTTATTATTCGTTTTTCTCGATAGTAAATGTGACAACAAAGATTCGATCTGGGTGATTAACTATACAATCAAATGTCTCTGCACGATGCACTTAGAATTAAAGTAAAAGATGTGTCTTCGGTTTGCATAAAGTTGATTACAAAAAGAGATCCATGAAAGTTGCCTCAAAAACCATTTCATACTCGTAATGTTTATAAAAAACTTTTTCCGATGTTTTCATCTTCATTAAAAGTGGAATTTTAATTCTCTGGATGATTTTTTAGAATTTTGAAGTGAAATATGTGCGTCAACAAGTTTAA